GGTATGGAAGGTGGCTGGCGGGTGCTTTGGTGTGGTTTGCTCCTTCTTTTCAATCAAGCTTTTGTCTACTGTATCGACCGTATTGTCATTCTCTCTTCCTTCTTTTTGTGTTTGTTACTCTCTTGTAACACCTCTAATCTTCGGCACTTATATGACCTTATTGTGTTGCAAGTGCCGTAAAGCTCTTACTAAAACAAACAAACAAAAAAGAGTAATTGTATTTTGTTCCCTCTCCCCGGTACAGCCGCCGACCTCCCAGCCCGGCAAGACGTCCGCGGCCACACAACCGGCCGCCGCCCCACAGGGCGCACTGGAAGAGGAGGACTACAGCGGGGACTTCACCGCAGACACAGAGGACGACCGGATAGAGGCAGACCGGGTCAACGGACCCCGCGCCACCCCACAGACCCTCTCCGGCCAGGAGGGGAGGTCGGACTCTCAGGACGTGACCGAGGGGGTCAGCTCGGACAAGGGGGAACTCACGTCCGAGGGTTCGAGTCCCAGAGGCGGCCCGGGCGAGGAGGAGTGCGGACCCGGGGGCAAGGACTCGGCGGAAGTGTCCGCGGACGCCAACAACAAATCCCGGAGCAAAGATAGTAGCGGCGGGGGCGGAGAGTCTCAGGCCAACAAGAAGGGCAAGCCCAGGAAGCAGTTCACGATGACCAAGAAGAAGATGGAGGTCATTGACCACAAGCTGCCCAACACTAAGGTGACGTCACGGCTGGCCGACTACATCAACACGCCCCCGCCGGCCAAGCCCAAAGAGGAGAAGGAGAAGGAGAAGAAGGAGAAGTTCTCCAAGAACGCCAAGAACAAGATGAAGAAGAACGTGTCGGAGACGCCCAAGTCTAAGCTGGACACGGGACGGACATCTTTCTCCTCCTCCACGGCACCAGACGGCGGGAACTCCAGGGACGCGGGCGGGGAGAAGGTGGGAGACAGAGACGAAGGGGCGGACAAGACGGAGAAGAACCAGAAACCGGAGAAGATCGTCGTGGAGAAACCGAAGCCGAAACCCGTGAAGAGAACCCCACCCAAGTCCAAGTGGGGAGACATCATGTCGCAGATCTCCACCAGCAAAGACACCGCCAAACCCAAGCCCAAATCCGAAATCAAATCCTCATTGGCCGCCTACTTAAACACCCCGCCCCCTCAGGCTCCGCCCAATACGGAGGCTAACAGCGTGGCCGTCAACAACGCTAAGAACGAGCAGCAGAATCAAAGCCAAGCGCACAAGTTCAAGTCCAGGATCAAACCGCTGCCTCCGCCGCCTCCCAAAATTGACCTGAGCAAGGTCAAAAGTAAACTGGGCGTGCCCACGGCCGCCTCGGCCCACAAGGTGGTCAAACGGGACAGCTCACCGGCCACGCACAGCAACAAGGCAGGGGTTCAGATCTCCAGGGACAACTCGCCCGCCGCTGGGAAAGGTGAGGAGAGAAAGAGATTGTTGTTGGTACTTTGTTCACAGAATACCGTCTCTGC